CCTATAGTTACTCGCGCTGTGAGAAGGTGATGACGCGAACTTCGACATTTGCTTGCAGGTTAAAACTATAAAAAACATGCATCTTTATTAGGCTAAGCTCAACTGACAAATGATGAAATATGTACTTACAACATGATATTTTTTCAAATATACACATTTATTCTCTAACTCCATCGACCAAAGAATCAATGACATTAAATTTTAGCTTCTTTCGCAAATTTCGTACTTTCTAGATGCTGAAATTGAACAGTTTTAAATTGCAGTCGTCTATTGCATGCTATAATTGTGAATTTCCATATAAAAAAAGTAATTTAATGTACCCACACTAAAAAGCAGATACAAAAAAATATGTATTTAAACATGACGAAAGGTTGGCAAAATTTAGAAAGAAAATAATTACAAATTTAATACTGTGCCGTTTCGTATACCAAGCCCCAGCAAGGAGTCTCTGAAACTTGACAATATTGATTTTTTTATTAGTATATTGAAAATTGAAACTGAATGAAACTTGAAAACACAAGCAAGTCCTTAGAAGCAGCGTGTGGCAACAGAACAAGCAAATACAATTGTTATTTAAACAACTGCACCAGCTACATCTATCAACTCTTGCAACTACAACCATTCTATACTGATCACAATTCATCGATGAATTGTCAAACGCCAATGATGAATGATGACATCAAATGATGAATCGTCAAACGCCTATGATGAATCGAGATCCTAATACAGTATAATGAATAAGAAACATTTATATGTACACAAACACCATCATCAAAGAACATAACTTTATGCTTGAAAGATAAGGCTAATTAATTTAATGTACTATATAACTAACCATATTCAGAAAACGACACATTTTTAAATGGCGACAAAAAAATTATCACTGCAAAAAAACACAAAGATAATAATAGATAATAATAATAAAAACACACATAGATAAATATCACCATAAACACACATAAATAATCTAAAAGTAAACCACGCTGAATATATCTACCATGCATCAATTTCCAAACAATGTATAGAAAAAAATTACCATCACCTATATAGAATAGATAAATAATATCTTAAAAATTAGGAAAACAATATAAATTTTACTATAATTACAATTAATATTTTGGAAAGTAGATAAATTAATATCTTGTAAAATAATATGCGAGTATGAAGGAATTAGGAAAATAATATAAATTTTAATATAATTACAATTAATATCTTGTATAATAATATACGAGGATGAAGGAATCTGTGGCAGCCGTAGTAGGGGCGAGGCTCCCTTTGTTCTGAGCTGCCGCAGCAGCAGTCACCGGCGAGCGCGCGACTCTGCCTTAGTGATCGCACTCATGGATACCAACCTTACTAATAACGCTAACAATTTACAGGCACGGTAAACGCTTATAAATACGCTAACAACCCCAGGCACTCTAAACGCTTAGTAATAACGCTAACAACTTGTTGGCACTGAAGTGGAGGCTAATTAATACCCTAACAACTTCCAGGCACTGTAAACGCTTGTTAAAATCGCTAACAACTTATAGGCACTTTAAACGCTCATTAATAACGCTAACAACTTGTGGGCACTGTAAACGCTTAGTGATAACGCTAACACCTTGTTAATAACGCTAACAACTTCCAGGCACTAGAAACGCTTATAAATACGCTAACAACTTGTAGGCACTAAAAGACTAATAATACGCCAGCAGCTCCACGGATTAACGGCGTATTTATACACCTGCAACTCCCGGTTCCACTTATTAACTTTTCATTATTAATATTATTATTACACCAGCAGCATGCAAGTACACAAAGCTTGTTAATTCACCATCATAGCCCATTATCATTTCTATCAGTGAACATTTATAAAATGCCTCTAAAATATTAAAACGATTTTTAGAAAAAATGAGTTGACCGTAAAATCCGTATATCAAATATTCTTAGTGATATCCCATTATTTTAATATATATGTCTTAATATGTCTAAAAATATTTTTAGATAAAATATTTCAAACAAGTAAATCAAATAGAAAATGCATATAAATTCTAATTATTTGGCACCCACGCTATACGAGTAAATCCGCAAAGATGCACTCAAATCCGAAAATGTAGCATATGGGTAACTAAATTTAATGGTTTTAAATTAATGGTATGCATAATATAATCAATCAAACAAGTACGTTTTACTAAATCATGACTCATGAGCATAAATCTATCATCTCCAAGATATTAGATGCAATAATTTTTTAGCAGGTCCATGGGCCAAACATTTACCAAAATATTATATTTATATGCAAAAATTGTCGAAAATAATTTATATTAGACGCAAGAATTGTTCAGTAGATCTATGGCCAAAACATAAAAACATATACCAAAATATTATATTTATGTGCAATAATTGTAAAAAATAATTTATATTAGATGCAAGGAACTGTTCAAGCAAGATTCCCCGCCCGCACTCGCGGTCACAGCCTCGGCACGCGTCGCTGCCGCTCGAGTCGCTTCTCTTTAAGCGCCGGACTCCTTTGTCGCCCTCGCCGCGCACGAGGGATGGTTAGAGAGGAGAGGAATGGTGGCACATGAATAGTTGAGAGGAATGGTGGCACATAGGGGATGGTTAGAGGGGAATGATGGCACTATGGATGGTTAGAGAGGAATGGTGGCACAAAGGGGGTGGTTAGAGAGCACTAAGGATGGTTAGAGAGGAATGGTGGCTCATGGAGGAATGGTTAGAGGGGAATGGTGGTACATGGATGGTTAGAGAGGAATGGTGGTACATGGATGGTTAGAGAGGAATGGTGGCACAAGGGATGGTTAGAGAGGAATGGTGGCACAAGGGATGGTTAGAGAGGAATGGTGGCACAAGGGATGGTTAGAGAGGAATGGTGGCACATAGGGGATGGTTAGAGAAGAATGGTGGCACATGAGGGATGGTTAGAGAGGAATGGTGGTACATGGAGGGATGGTTAGAGAGGAATGGTGGCACATGGAGGGATGGTTAGAGGAATTGTAGCACACGAAGAGACATTAATTGGGATATGAGCAGACGAAGTGACAGGAGGATAGGAGCAAACGAGACAGGAGGATAGGAGCAAACAAGACAGGATAGGAGCAAACAAGACAGGAGGATAGGAGTAAACGAGACAGGAGGATAGGAGCAAACAAGACAGGAGGATAGGAGCAAACTGAGACGGGAGGATAGGAGCAAACGAGACGGGAGGATATAGACATGCAGACAAGGAGCAAGGATGAACGGAATGAGTAGAAAAAGGGCACGGAGGGTGAAAATGTAGGATGTAAGAGAGAAAATGAGTAAAACAATAGCAAGGAGAAGGATAGAGAAGTGTGAATAAAAAAAGAAAGATAAGCACGTGAAAAGCAAGAATAGAAAATAGGTCAGGCTGAGAAAATATTGGGTGAAGACAGAATTTGCTATATCAGTGAGAAAGAATGAAAATGAACGAATGGCAAAGAAGAGGATGGGGGAATGAACAGAAGTTACGGAAAATTAAGACAAATTGAACACAGAAGACGAATAAATAAATGCAGGAGGGAGGAAAACAAGGATTTCGAAAGGAATAAAATAATTCAAAAAGATGTGATAACTCATTAAAAACAAAATTGAATTAATACATAGGTACTATATGTACAACCTAACCATGCATGCAACGGCAGCCGGAAGACCAGTTTTTCACTAAAAATCGCCGCCGTTTCATAATGACTTCCTCAGGTTATTACAACAAACATTGTAATCCTTCACTAGAAACATCCACTTGAATTTGAGATCACTAAAATTGCAGTGAACTTATCCGACTCACAATCACTCAACATATGAGACTCTCAACGATGAATTTTATCAGATCAAAAACCGAAATAAAAAACCTAAGGCCATGCAATGCGAAAGAATCACAAAGCCCCGGAACACCACCGGCAGAATCTCGATAATTATTTCATGTCTGAGATTGCACAGTATGGCACTGAGGCACTACTAGCTATTAATTTATTCCATACACAGAATCAATTGTGAAGCAAAATATTATACTGACCTTTTTACCTTCCCCAATATCGAATATTAATTACATTCGAATACAACGCTTTACCCCCCTGAGAAAATGAATTCATCTAAATTTTCCCGATAGCTAAGCAAATTAAAAATATATACATTCAATGGATTGATTTCGGATTAAAAATATACATTTACATTTCATGGAAAATTTTATCCTGAACATAAGTAGACAATAATCTAGAAGCAACATAAAAAAAAGTTGGAAAATTCCAAACGTATACTGATAAGTTTTGAAACGTCATCGGAATACTGCTGGCGAGGGCAGTCGGCGCGCGTGGCTCAGCTGATGAGCTGAAGGCAGGGTATGGCTAAATATATAACCCCTTTGTTCCCGAGAACATCGTTAAAACACTAATTATCATCCCTGGCAGCTGGATTTATCATCGGCCAGTGTCAAGATTACATTAACTAGTAAGGTGCGGGAACGAGTGGCACGATACAAAATTAAGGGTAGAAATGAAACGACTTAAGTGGTACTAAGGATTCTTTGTTCGAGTAATAGTTCTTCCTGAAGACGTTCATACAAGAAATGTTTTCACGTTACGTTCTTGTTTGAAGAATGTTAAGGATGTGAGCAAAAACATACGCAAAACACTCCATAGAACGTGAAACCACACGAAATTTGCACGAAAGCTTGCCGGCCAAAACAAAGAACGAGAGGTTACAGCTGCGGGGGAGTGGCCGGCGGCAGCGACGCACACGCTACACCTCCAACACCCAAAGCAACACTGAAGAGACCGATCGATAAGCCGTGTCGGGGCGGCCGCGACCCTGTCTGGAACACCGTCTGGAACTGACTACCGCCACCACACAAGAGACCGATCGATAAGCCGTGTCGGGGCGGCCGCGACCCTGTCTGGAACACCGTCTGGAACTGACTACCGCCACCACACTCCGTCTGGAACTGACTACCGCCACCACACACCGTCTGGAACTTCCGTCAGCGAGGTGGCACTCCATGGAGCCGCTGGCACCCGACGGCGCGCAGGAGGCCGACTACGTCGACTGCTGCAGCCTGCGTCGTCTGTTGAACTCTATGCAAGCCTACTGCGGTAGAGGTGGGTCGCAGTGCACGGAATTGGAGTGACATGCCGGTCGGCCCTCTACTTTCAGTTCATTTAGTTAACCCACACATTGTGATCACTAATGCTTGTCCCACTCGTGAACTATAAAAGTGAATGTTCTGTGTTATATCCCATAAATGATTAATTTATATATATAGCTTCCAGAACTAAGTTCCTGGCATTATTCTAAAGTTAACCAAAATTAATTCCACTATTCTCTAAAATCTATATTTATTAATTGCAGGCATTCACTTCTTGTTAACCGCGTGCGGTGCAGCGGCGGCGCTCCAACAATCTCGACGTTCTCGAGAAGTTTGCCGCTGCTTCGGGGTGCGATTGAAGCGACGCAGCTCGAAACCATTACGATCAATATAATTAACTTTAGTTCGTTGTCGTGCGTTTCTTTCAAACCCCCCACTCGTTTGCGTTTTCAAGAACAACAGTTATAAAGTATTGTATACATATCACACTTTAATATAAAATTAAATTGAGAAATATCTAACAATCATTGAGAAAAATGAAAGAAGGTAAACTATTTCCAACATTATTTTCAAGTAAATTATACTCAAAAGCTCTCGCAACGAATGGGTTTGAAGATGACCATGTTGCATGGCAATAACTTTTCTGAAAGTACTTTCAGCATCAAATAGAATATTATCATATATAAATATATTAATGGATTTCAGTCACGATAAAAAAATTTTATACTAAACCCGTAGCGAAATATCGTTGCTCACATATTTCTGATGCGGTTATAGTAATACCTATATAATTCTATAGCGAATATAGTAATAATTATATCAAACGATAGGAAAAAGTACTGCTGAGGAACAGTAAAGAAATGTATATTTTTTAGGACGTCAGTCAATGGAAAATCTTAATTTTGCTTAATTCATCAAATCGCCTATATATATTGGACTACAACTTTATAAGCACCTCGATCCTGACATTCTCCGTTCCTCAAGTCATTCGAAAAAAAGGAATTTTTAAGAAAAATAATCACGATAGGTACCCAATCTAATTTGCCAATATACCCAATACATGAGCATGGTGCAATGTGCATGGTTTACTTTAAACATATCAAGACACGAAAGATTCGAACTTTGCAAATGTACTAAAAATTTACGGATCAAAATCGTAAATAAAAATCTAAGAAAAAAGTACTATGTAACGATAAATTCTTATTAAGAGCTACTAATTAAAATAAATGTATTTAATAAGCACTTGCTGCTTGTTCTTTAATGCAGCCTATATGCAGGTCTGGCCACATGCAACGAATCGTAAATTAGCAATCGATACCTTATTATAGCTTTCGCAGAAAATGTCTTTCAAGCAACAGCCAAGACAAATTTAGAGAACACTATAGCAAGTACTAATAAATAAAAAAACATGCCTTTACTCGTCTAAAAAAAGTAATAATAAAAAATTAATTAAAAATAATAATAAAATAAAGAATTCAGTCACGCGATATTTGCCTAATTCTGTAACACATGCAGGGGCTCGTAATTTTCCACTTAGCTTGCCAAAAATCACTGCATGCTCGCGAAATGTTACACCAATCGATTTTTATTGACTAAAACAATCAATATTCTATTATATTCAATGAATACATGACAGCCTGTGTCACGTTAAAAGCATGATATATTTTTTCCTCACGTTACTTATCTAGTAGGAACGTCATCGAAAATATTTCATACGAATCAAAAAATTTAGAATAAAAACATTTAAAGATTCACCAAACTAGAAATTTTTATAAACCATCAGTTAGCCGTTATATCAAGGAAACGTGCCCATACTTTTTCAGATAGAATTCCCTTTCTATCAATTTTTAAGTAAATAATTTAGATAAACTGGAAATTTTGTGTTGACCAGAACCAGAAGATAAAAATCTGACGATCTGTGATTCTTTACTAGCATCAAAATCAATGCTCGGTTAAATCTACTACTCTCAGTAGTAAATCAATACCTTTCATTTATTTATGACTATACTTATTAAAAACTAGAAGATATAGAAATTCAAACAGAATACGGTAAACGGAATATTGATCCTCGCAAAGATTAGAAGGTATTTCTAGAAGAAGAAGGAAGCATTACTGAAGGAAATGTGTAAGCCGATATCAGGAACCGATATCGGCCGATGGCCGATATAATAAAAAAAATAAAAGATATGTACATTCAAACAGAATACAGTAAACGGAATATTTATCCTCATAAAGATTAGAAGGTATTCCTAGAAGAAGGATGCATTACTGAAGGCAATGTGTAAGCCGATATCAGGGACCGCCGCTCCGTACCTCCGCCACTCACCCGCCGCTCGTGAGCACGTAAGCCCTTCCTTGGCAGCACCGCTGCCGCCTTCAACCTCACGACAGCACTCAATGCAGAACTTATATAAAAAATACAGCACCTACATAAAAATGACAAGAAAATACTATTTTAGTTTGTTTAATGTGAAATTATCCGTAAATTTTATCATGAAGATTTACGATTTTAGTAGAATATAAGATTAGCGATAATATTTTACATTAATGACAGTAGCACACTCGCAGGATTTCACAATCACCGCTCGATACTTTCGTCATTGTGATAATATGATGCCAGAACTGCACAGAATGACAGTGAGAAACGCAAGACCATAGAAATAAATCACAGTACGGCCACGACCACATGCACACGGCAACGTGTCTCGTAAGGAACTAACTATGCCTCGGGCTCGTAACCTAACCTAACCAATAGAATATCTTCGCCCCTCCTCTAGGTACGTAGTTCCTCCTCGTCTACCTTAAACCCGTCCTTATCTACGCTACCTCCGCCCATTTCTGTCATAAAATCCCTCCTGTTTTATCCAGATTACGGCGTAATCTTATGACATGACTCATTTGCTCCGCCTATATAAACCTGATTTGAATTTCACCGCCTCATCGTCTCAACTTTTCATTTTTTCGTGAGCCGAAGACACGGAAAAACTGCAGCTTTCTTGACCACCGCAAGTAAGAGAACGTTGAATGCACTGGCATATTTTCTCACAGAAAAGCGCGCATTGGTAATGTGAACGATTAATTGAAATAAAATAAGTTCCTTGCAGGTTTTGAGCTGGAATTCAATTCGGTGACCTAAAATAGGTCAAAAAGATGGGATTAACTAGGGATAAAAATAATACACTATCCTTCCATATCCCTTCAGTCATTTTTACTTTGTGACTTTTATGCCAAAAGTCTTTTACGAGCTTATTCAATAAAAAATTAATGGATAATATAGTCGACCACCACACTGAGAATGAGATTGGTTTCAAGTTTCAACCCAGAATTTTCGTACCAAAATGACAGCTGCAAATATGACAAACCCATACTTAGCACTCGAGTATCTAAATCTCACCATATACACCCGAGTTAAATTTCCGGGTACTGAACACTTTACATGTCTTCGTATAAAATTATAGTAATTAGCGTACCGATATAGGTGACTTTAACTGACTTACAAATTTGCATAGACAAATTTTAAATCTTGAAACAAATTTTAAAATTTTAAATCTGGAAAAGTTACAACTACGAGTTTGGAAAATAGCGAACTTTTTCATTAAAAATTCAATTAAGACAGAAAAATAGGCAGCGCAAATACTTCGTACTAGCACGTTGAAATTAATTGCACAAAAATGTAGTGAATTTGACAAGTGTTTTTCTTTTGAATGTAAAAAGGATTTCTCTTTAGTAAAAAAATGAAAAAAAAACATAAATTTACAGGGTGGTCCTAACCATCTGTTCAGATAATCACAAGTGCAAGTGTTTCTTTCTGAGAGGAATATATTTTTGCCAATGGATATAATTTGTAACAAAAAATACGGGAAATTAACAAAAAATACGGGAAATGTCTTCCATGAATATATATCGTTGTTAATTTCATAGTAAGCATAAATGAACTAAATTAGGCGAAGGTTCTTCTTAATTTATACACGAGATTTAAAAAATTTAAATTTTCTCTAGTCCGTCTATCATAACTCTAAATCAAATGCGTTTCGAGAACCTGAAAATAATTGTAGTTTGATGCATCATCTCTTAATATAATAATGGTTACTACAATATATATTTCCTTTAACAATCAACGCATTTGGGATATCATAATTATCTCCAGAACTAGAATACATGTCCTAAACATGGAAACATTTATTTTAGATATAACTTTCTCATTACATAGAGGACAAAAAAGTCGATGCTAACGTATAAATCAACACAATTTCATTAAATCAATTATAAATAACCAAATAAGCATACTATATATGAGCTTCCATAAAAATACATTTCCTTCATAATTAAAATTAGTTCAATTCAACTGGCTGCATGGTCAGAAATAACTTTCTAATGACACTCGTGACTTAACTACTATATATATTAACTACTATATAGGTATATTTTCCATTAAACACGATCGAGGAGCTCTATTATATAAGCATATACTCAATAAAGCTCATGTGTACATCAATTATTTAAAGTAATAATTTATTTGCAGCAAATTTAAACTGAAACACGTATATATCAACGTAATAATTTATAATTGGGGGAACAGTCAGGATAACCAACATGTCCGCTATTTATTAATAATGCATAGTACCTGAATGATGTTTTTTCTACCCATATGCAGACCATTTATTTACAGCGTCTTACATGCATATATATACAAGGCTTAATGAGTGCATTCGATTCCATGAACGCTGTATTAATTTTAATTACTTGTTTGGGTAGGTATACGTTCATAATTGATCAGTTATAAATACATAGCAACCCATAATTAATTTCAACTACTTAGACATACTGAACAACTTACTACTTAATTATGATTATTCCTAATTTTTTGTCATTTACGAAGCGTGCCCTATATATATATTCATTAATACACCTGTTTGAATACCACCCTCCTCCATGTGTTCATACACTCAACACCCACCATGTGTTCATACACTCAACACCACCATGTGTTCATACACTCAACACCATCATGTGTTCATACACTCAACACCATCATGTGTTCATACACTCAACACCATCATGTGTTCATACACTCAACACCATCATGTGTTCATACACTCAACACCACCATGTGTTCATACACTCAACACCACCATGTGTTCATACACTCAACGGAATTATAAGCGAAGTACAGTAATATTTTGGCTTTTTTTCACAATTAAATCTAAATATCTTCTTAAAAATCGAGTGGTCAAATGATACAACCTTATTCATATCTCCTTGAACCGAAATGCTAATAAGGAGCGATTGGAATGTAAGGACCATTTATTTTAAGCTATCATTATAACATTTAGTTGCAGGTTATAATAAACTGCGCCTTCCTAATTAATTATGCATTACGGGAATTGCATGATAAAATGCACGGGAATAA